TTAATATATAACGCCCAAGACACAATCTCGATCAAACAAATCGTTCACGAGATATATATTTTTCTATTGATGCTTATCATTTTTGCATAAGCCCTTTTCAATTGTTAGTCGTGTGCAATACTAGGAATTCATATATGTAAAATGGCATGTTGGGCAATAACAAACAACTAAGCAAAGTTTCATCATAATCGTAGAAGATCGATCCGAAACGGTTTACGAATCTGTGTGGAACTGCTCTCCATCCTTGGTCCAACGCTCTGGAACGGGATGTACAACGACGTGCTGACGCTGAAACTGCCCAATGGAGTCGAGATGGCTTTGTGATTTGAGTTTTCACAAATTTTAGTCATAAGTATTACAATTTAAATTTTCTGTCATAATTTTGATCGAAAAAATAATGGGAAATTTTTACAGTATTCCGTTTTTGTCAGGCTAAAATTTAGGTAGGGGCTGAAAAAATCGGGAAAGGACTGAATGTTCCATAATTCTAAAAAAATATATTTAAACGATTTACTGGCTAACACTTTTCAGGACATAGCTTCAGCTTTCATCATAAAAAAAAATATGATGGAAACCAGGACCCTAAGAGAGAATCAACGGTTTGTTATTTGTTAACATGAATTCAATGATTGTTTCTTATTTCAATGTATTTTTTTTTTCTAAAAAACATTTAACTACCTGCCACTTCTTCTCAGATGTAATTTTGAACAGATAAATCATTTTCAAATTATGATTTTTTGAAAAAATAAAATCAATTTTTCGATTTGCCGTTATAAAAATTTACTCTTGTGAAAAATAATCATATTTAATTTAAAAAAAATCCAACCTTGGGTAGTAACCAACATATAAGCAAATTTTTCTTCAAATCGGAAAGGGTCGAGCCAAAATGGTTACCTTTTTGTGCTTTTCGAGCTGGAAACGCTCTACTTATAGCGTCTCCGTTTATGAGTATATGTAGGTAGAGATGAGAAATTTCTGACTTATATGAATTCGTAACATTTTTATCCTCTGACGCTTAAATCGGTATAACACACCCATATGTTTCACAAATTGCATTGTAATAGTTGTTTAAAACTGCAAAATGTTTCAGGATTTTGAAAATCCCGGCCATCGTAATCGCTAGTCATCAAATTACCAAAAAATCAATAACCTTGAATTTACCCAGCACGAATTCGACATGGAAACACGGTATCAACCATGGCAAAATTTTCAGACAAAAATGCACACAAAGTTGTGCCGCTTCACGCCCCGAGGCAATGTATAATTCATGTGATTTTTGCGGAATGGTAGCACCCTGGATGCTGGTACAGATTTTTTCCCATGTCCAACATGCAATCGAAGTCCAAGCAGCTGATTGCCATCCCGTTGTGTGACCGTGGTCCAGTAAAAATTTCAAGCAAAATTCAAACACATTATGCAGTGTCCCAATTTGAATTTTAAATTCCAAAAGAACACCAGTTTACAACTCAATATTTTTTGCTTGCATAAGTAGAACGCTGCAATAACTAAAAACTGATAATCGCTGTTTGATGCTGACCACATTAGGATCTTTGTGTGCATAGACAGCCTTCGGGACAGGAGACACTGCGGGCGTGAGTTCTGCGCTTCAGAATGCCACCAGGTAGGCTCTAATTTTGCCCATACCGCCCTAATGCACTTTAGTTTTCGTGTCGTCCTAATCATACCCTTTCGAGTTTGGAAAATTAACATTTTCCCCATTTCTGCCTAAGCCAAATTCTAATCAGTGCATCGAACAGGAATGCACATATTTGATTTTCAAACATGCCAATCAGTGGACCTCATCTTCTTGAGCTGAAATTTGCGCCGAAAAGTAAATAGCGTTTTATCAGTCTGTCCAATAATGATGAACGCTCATTATTGCTGACAACTCTTGGGCCGTAATGTTCGAAACGTTTCACCGGAGGACAGAATGGAAAAGGCTCATCATCCACAGTCTATAATTTGTCGCGTCAATATTTGAATTTACGCGTCGCACGCGCCACACCGCAGCCACGGCATCCGACGGACAGCAAGCTCGTGCTCTCCAAACGGCACCAACCACGGCCAAGCCCGCGATGACAGAAAATAGCCTCGGAGAATTTAATCATGTCGTCCCATTCGGTGCACGGCGGGACGATAGAGTTTTCGTTGGGTATGGCAATAATTATCCTTTTTGACAGGATGCGACCGGCTGCTCGAAAAGTGATGGCTCGATTTGCTGACCACGTGGCCTGAGAGATTGCGGATTGTCGCCAAGGGCAGGCATTCATCAAAATTTGACCGAGCTTTGCCAAATCCATGCTATCATTATGTTCGACAGATGTTTGGTTATAGATTACCGACCATTGAGCAGATCAATCATGTTTCGTTAAAGTGCACTGCGACTAAGCCTTTGGGAATACACCTTGTGATTTGAAAATGGAAATACTTTTTCCAAACAGGAATCTTGCATTGGACTCACCGCTTCCGATTTGGAACGACTCAAACCAGATACATAAAATTTCATACTGATTTTTTCCCGCAAATATAAAAACCGACCCGAAACACGTAAAAATACACCGAAGCAAGATGGCCCACAACTGATAACGGCGTGCCAGATCCTTTCGCAAAACGTGATTGACTCCGTAAAACCGTCGGAATTGTTGCTGTTGTGCCCCAATAAAAAAAATAATAAGACACATCATCAGAGCTTCTGCACCTCATTAATTCGTTTCGCTTGAGCAATCAAGAAAGTGATGCTGCTGACGCGTCGTTCGTTCCGGGGCTGCCACTATAAATCACCCGTTCCCGATCCTATGCGAACGGATGACCCATCTTCCGTGCACCGGCCGGTCACGGGTGCAAAAAACTGTCAAAAAATTAGCAAACAAAGGACCAGATCTGGTTTTTAAATCAATTTAACGACACATTTTCGATTTCGTGCTCGATAAGACCGATGTGCTCCAAGAATGTTTGTCATAATCGAAGATGTTTATGGCTGCAAATTCGCGAGAAGGACGGGGCCAAGCGAACGAAGAAGCTGGGAGGGTAGTTGTGGAACCAGAAACCCGGTTCCGTTCGTCATAAAAATATTTGCTGTGCGAGGATTGATTGATGGAACGTATAATTATGATGTCTTGCTTAACGCTTCTGAACCGGAGCATCAGAAGCTCCCGTGATCGAGACCAAAACTGCGAAGCGGTTGTAAATGGTGGTGGAGACAAGCTCAAGGAAATATGTTTATGCTTTCCAATATGAACCGTCTGTACGAGCGAGGGGGGAAACGACGACGACGACAACGGTCATGGTTTCCATGGCATAAATGTACTACAGATGGTTTGTCGTACGGGAATGCGGTGATTGTCGTTCTGCGGTGGCTCCATGGGACACAATGTGCAGGAATGTTGAATGTTTCGACATGCAATAATGCTATGGTCATTTGAGGTGCTTAATTGTTGAAGCAATAGGAGGTGTTGCTGTTTCAGAGTAATGTTTCGTCGCTGCAAGGGGCAACCTGTTACAGAAAGTTGCTATGCATGTACGTATTCAAATGATACAGAATGCTTGCAGCAGAATCCTTGGCGTTGTTGTGATAAATTACAAAATAATCAAATCAATTTCCTCTACAGGCCATTCGAATTAAACTGATAAAATAACTTCCATTAGGAACCAGTTCCTTCCATCGAGCACCACTGAACTTCTAACCCAAAGACAGGCATCTAATTGGCTAAATCTGTGCCAAACACTTGACCGACCACACACCCCGAACCGACCGAACGGTGATTATTTTATTACAGTAGTTCCATCGCTCGATCCGCGTAAAGTGTATTATTTTTCAATTTAATCATAATTTATCGTTCAATGAAAACAGCACCTCGCGAAATATCCACGCAGCTCGCTGGGGGAAGTCGGATTGAAATTGCATTTTAATACGCTAGCTCACCCCCACGGGGTGTTCCTTTGGATGCAACCAGCGGAATCGAAGAAAGTGCAACCACGGAGGCCTGACCTGCTACCCCCCTGCGCGCGCGCATTAGTTGTGGTAAGTGCACTACAGTAGGTACCTACCGTGCGAAGCTCATTTCGATGATGATCAGCTATCAGGTATCTCGTGCTTTGGCAATCACTTGCTAACTATATAAACGTCAAAATCACCGATTGCTGAAACGTTGGTGGTATCTCGGATGGAACAATGGGAAAGAATTTCTGGTAAAAGGGCACAATTTCCGGGTTTTGTAAGTGTAATTTCATTAAAATTGTTGATTGAGTATCACACATTCTGAGGATTTTCAAATAACATTTACAACTAGTATTCCAATGCAAATCCCCGAGTGCACTAGCATCATATTTCTCCACGGACCGAACCAGAAGAACCTCCAGGTAATCGCTTTTCGATTATGATCCTCACCGTCAATGCAATGAGTATGATCGCAACTGTGAGCGAGCATCCGAGAGATCAAGATGTTGTTGACTGCCGGCGCTGCATCTGCATCTCTTCTTTATCTTCGCCGATATCGCCATCTTATGCTCAATTCCGATACCGCGCGGGGTAATCATCAGCCATGTGAACGGCCCCCGGTCCGGTGGTGGTAGTGGTGGTGGTGGTGCTACAAGTTCGCAACCACTTCTCCCGCACTAAACCAATATTAAAATCATATTAAAAAGGCATAGACAAGCGTTCTTTATAACCGCGGCGGCCGGGTCTTCCGTAATCTCTAAGAGGGGGCAACGCAAATGATCGCGCTAAAAAGATTAGGAAAAACGGCAGCACGGTGGTAATCCACCTCACCGCCGCCGCATCAAATGGGGCGAGAAATAGTGCTCACCTCTATTCGATAGGCTGTGAGAGCCGTTGGTAATTTGAACTCTATCATCAGTCCACTGGGCAAACCAGAACGATGATGGTTGCGGCCAGACCACTGGACTAGGGCTGATATCGACGTCACGAAGTAGCTGCGCGCCGTTGCCGCGAGTTAACCCAGTAAAATTATGATGATAATCTAATAGCCGTTTCCACTTACCGGTATGGGGCATTTCTTCCACTGCGGCTGCTGCTGCTGCTGCTGTTGCTGCACCGATAGTTGTGTGAGTACTTGAAAGCAATAGCCGTCGGCAGGCGATATCTGAAAGAACAAAAATGCAGAAAGAAACAACAAGGGGAAGTGTTATTATTGGAACGAACTGCGAGGAGGGGACGCATGGTAAATTGTTTTAATTTATTCAAATGGATATTTGATGGTGTATCATTAGGATTTTAACGCTCCCTGCTTGGGAGAAGCGATTTGGGTGGCACTAGGGTTTTGGCTGTGTAGGTAGGTACTCAATATGGTTCGGTATGCAACGAATAGGTTTTAGTAATCCATTGCCCAGTGTGAACTGTTGGGAAACTTCTATCGGCTTTTTAAATCTCAATGTTGTCATTTAGATCAAAATATCTTAATCCTTACGTTAATTTCGCTACTGTTCGTATTCTTATTTTAAAATCAAATCTAAAAAGCCTTAAACATCCAAAAGTGGTTTAAAGTGAGTGGGATTGATAGATAAAGTAAGCTACGTCAATTGGATTGTCTCGAGGTCCATTACCGCAAACCTTCCAAATTCGAACATAATTTTCGGTTCCCGGAGTTCGTGAATTTCTCGGGAAATTTTATATTTATTCAAAGATTGTTTTAGATTCAGCTCATATTCTCCACTGAAATTTATCATTAGTGTGAGATGTTGCTTGTAATTGAAGTTGACACTGTTAAAGTAAAAAAAAGTAGAAGGGTCTGTGCCTAGGGGCACGAACGGGAGCTTGACGTAGGACCGCTAGGGCACGGAACAAATGTGAAGAAAATTTAGTTCTTTTAATTGATCGATCATCTATTATCTTACCTCTATCCGTTTTTGATTTGTAGGCGTGCCAAATTTGTAGTATTTTTTTTTTTTCAAAGTGAAAGTTGATTAAGAGAATCAATAAAAAATACTTCCACCCCTGCTTCCAAGTTTGGTTACAAGATTGCAACTTTGGAAAGCATTTTGTGTGGTCATTGGGGGCATGTGGTTCTGAATATGGGCCAACGGGCAGATAAATTCTATTCTAACTTGTTACTGTAATATGCTTATTGGTCCAGAAAAGGGCCGTTTTGTTGCCAAGGTTGGTGATGATTTAACCTCCGAAACTGTACAGAGTTCGTCTGTCGCTTCAAAGCGTAGACGACATCGATGGCCGTGGCGTGTTTAGTGTAGGTGATAGCATCACGGATCTCATTTTTCAGGAACAACTTCAGCACACCTCGTAGATCAGACCGGAGATACGTCAGACACCACCACGGCGCGACGGATGGTGATTATCGCGAAGAATTTGCGATGACGATTGACACCTACTTTGCCAGGACCAGTCAATTGTTGCTTGTTAGGTTGTACAAGAGTGGACTAGCCACCACCTTCCTACTGCTGCTATTGCTATCCACGCCGCCCGAAGCAAAAATGAGCTGATGCCAGACAGCAGCGCTGCTTTATATCTTTTCAGGTTAAAGCAGAATGATGTGCAACCAAAAGGTACTCGACTGTGAGGACTGGGTTTGGGGAGAACGTTTAACAGTGTTAAAATTATCACTTTTTATGTGTACATTGGACAACGCTTGACATTACCACCTTTTCAATAGCTTCTTGTTAAGAATCATCAGTTGCTAAAGATGCGTAGGAACATTTCTGATCTATATGTGATAAAATTATTGAAATTGGTCCAGGGGCAGCTGAGTTATTAATGTTCAAAGTCTTTCATAATTTTGTTTCATGTTCCATTTTCAGGTTTTCACAAAGTGTACCCCCATATAGAAATTAAAGACGTAGTCCTACCTTTATCTGTTTGCAACATCGATCATACATAAAATAAGTATTAGCAATACCATCAAGCCCGGTTTGCCGTTTCATTTCAGCGTCCAACTTACTTGAATTTAATAAACCACTTTTTCTGTTTGTATACAAGTCGACTACCAGATCGGAGGTGTATTAAATTCAATGCATTTGATCGAAGAACACTTACAACCACATGATTCAAGATGCATAACCATTCGTATAACGCAGGTTTATAACCAGCCCTGTATAGAAAAATTGATAAATGTTGGCTAAAATCGGTTAGATTAAATTTGATACCAGTCAAACATTTGACAGATCTCTTATACAAGGATACCCAAGTAACATTGCAAGTTTTATTGAAGTTTGAAAGCACTCTACAAGTCTAAATGATGGTCTACAGAATCTTCATAAAACCCAAAGTTAGAGTTACTTGAGTAGTCATTAAAATTAATCCGTATTGAAGCATCACTCCATGATACAAAAGTTGACAAATGGTGGACTCAAAATCGCATCCATTGGATCTAACTGTTCAATAGGAACTTGAATATTCCATCTAGGCATTCTCCGAAGCCGATACTATCAGCTAAAAAAAAAGACAAAGTAAAGCAAAAGGAACTTGCTTTTATTTATTTATTTGTTCGTCTTCGAATAAATCTTACAGACTACTCTATTCAACATCCAATTAAACCTATTTTTTTTTTATTTACTTTTTTTTTTTTTTTTTGAAGTCACAAAGTCAAAATCAGGACTAGTTGCATTGATAGCTCTCAGACGGGCGTCGAAGGGATTATTGTAGCCATAACTAGTCCTGTGAGCAGGGCTGTCATCTGATCACTCAATGCGCGCAATGTAGGGGAGAACAGTACATAACGCACCCCCGGGGTAAGACGCACTTTTTCATTTGATTTTGAGTTTTTCTTGGAATTTTTAATCCATTCAAGGATTTATTATGCAGGATTTTGAGTTCAGATGCTATGCTAGAAGCAAGGTTGCAAAGACTCATTTCAGCTAAAATAATGTTTTTCGGAATAATAAAACCAAAAGATGGTATGATGGCATGTTTTACTTGTAACTTACAAGAAGAGGTTACAAAGTATGCGTTGGAAACATAAAACCTGTAAATTTTGCTTTCTATGAGTCACAATCAGCGATTTGCTGATCGCTGAGTGAGTGAGTGAGTGAGTGAGTGAGTGAGTGAGTGAGTGAGTGAGTGAGTTTGTGAAAAATCGCTGATTGTGACTCTCATGAAGTGAAATAAACAGGTTTAGTATGTCAAACACATTCTTTGCAACCTCTTCTTGTATCCTACCAATTCAAAATTTGATCATGGCATCTAATTATTTCATAATTTAGAAAAACATTGTTTTAGCTGAAATGAGTCTTTGCAACCTTGGCTAGAAGTGCTGCTTGAAAAGACAACAAAAAAGTTACGTAAAAGCTATGAAAACACACAAATAAAAGTCAGCTGGTTCGTTCTGCCCAGGGGGTGCGTTGTATACCATTCTCCCCTACTGATTTTCTGAAACATACAAAGTGAGAATCAAGCTAACACAAAGTTTGCTTGTCTTTCACCCTGCGCCGGTGTAAAGCAACGGAGAAGACACACACCCAAAAATAACGAAAGCTCAATATGTAGCCATCGCTCCGACGGCTCCGACGCAAAGAGCACCACTCAGTGTAGGGTTGCAAATGGGAAACCCAGCAAAAAGCCAAAATTCTTCTTCGTTATGCCCTTATTCATCTTCTATGCATGCAGTCGTGGTAGGCAAAGTCTGCAAAGAATTCAAAGAAGACATTAGTGCTTGTTGTATTATATTCGCTCCCTGCGCCGCACGGAGTGTACCGCTCATTGTGTGGATTGCTTTCTCACAGATTAGTTGGAAAAGAGCGTGCGAAGCAAATGTGAGAACCACACACTCTTTGTCGAGTGTTGTGGATGCATGCACAAAGTTACTTTACTAACGCTCTGAGGTGCTTTCCAGCCCTTCCTGTGAGTAGGTACAGCAATAAGCTGTGAATTCCTCAGCTGTCGTGGTGGAACGCACAGCGGAATGTCATGTAAAAGCTAAGGACAATCCATGTTGCCACGCAGTACATCGAAGATAAGCAACTGCTGTTTATTCGAGCGTCTCTCACGAAAGGTTTTCGAATGAATGAGCATGCAACGAGCGGCGTAATCAGGCAGGTTCAGCGGATCATTCCATGAAAGATTAGGTAGAGCAAACCGAATAAAGACTTTTTGAATACTTTCGACTCTGATGATTAGCGATGCGTGATGAGGTGCTCATATGGTGCCCGCGTATTTCATGATACTACGAACTAGAGCGCAAAACAATATTGACAATGTCGGTGAACCGACAGGTATATTGCCCAATAAATTCGAGAACCGTGAATTTTTTGGCCGTGTTGAACGCAACATGTTCGTTGAACAGCTTTGAATCAATTGTTACTCCAATGTCACGAATCAAGGATACTCGCTCCAGAGGCACAGGTCCAAATGTATATTGGTGGTTGACGATGGTGCACCTACGTGTGAACGAAATCACCTTGCATTTCCCTATATTTAATTCATCCCATTCTCGTCACACCACAGGAATAGTTCGTTGATATCGTTCTGTAGGAGGAGGCAGTCGAGTACGGTCTTGATAACTCTGTACATCGTCAAATCATCCACAAACAACTGTTTGAACGAAGAAATACGAGGGCACAGATCGTTCACGAAAATAACAAACAGCATTGGACCTAGGACACTACCTTGTGGTTGTGGCACACCTGATGCAATGGTGATGGCTCACGTACGCGTGGAGTTAATCGAAACGAAGGACTGCTGGCCTGTCAAGTACGAAAGAATCCACTCAGTTAACCAAGTAGGGAATCCCATGGCTTTTAGTTTCTCTGATACGTACAGATGAGGTACAGTGTTGAACGCTTTTGAAAAATCCACGTAGATGAAGTCTTCCTGTCTTCGGGATTCAACCTCTCGAAACAGTGTATTAGTGTACAAACAAACTTGTAGTTGTCGAGCGGTGCTGGACTAATATCTCAAATAACTTGCTTTTACAGCAGAGAAGCAATATCCCACGGTAGTTCTCAATAAGGTTTCGATTACCTGCTTTTGTGAATTGGTACGATTGAAGCAATCTTCCAAGCACTAGAGAAAGTCCGTTCACTCATTGAACGGTTGAAGATACAGGAAATCGGAGAAGTAAAGAAGCATGCACAGTAATTTAGGATAGTAGAGGGAATTCCATCTTCCCCGGGCCCTTTTGATACATTGAG